AAAGCATAAGTGGCACTTATGCTTTCGAAGTGCCTCGGAACTGGAAACAGGCACCAACCATTTTTTGGTTGCTGCCCGCATGGAGTTCCGCTGCAGACTGCGCCGCGCGAAGACACACAACTAGAGAAACACATGAGTCAGCTTCGGTGAGTCAGCTTCTGTGAGTCAGCTTCGGTGAGGTCAAATATTTTCTGTTTGTGAAGACACACAACTAGAGAAATACATGAGTCAGCTTCGGTGAGTCAGCTTCGGGCGCGGTGAAGACAGAGATATCCTTTGCAGAGCACGCTCCTCTGCAGAACACTCTCCTTTGCAGAGCACTCTCCTTTGCAGAGCGCTCTCCTTTGCAGAGCACGCTGCTTTGCAGAGCACGCTCCTTTGCAGAGCACGCTCCTTTGCAGAGCACGCTCCTTTGCAGAGCACGCTTCTTTGCAGAGCACTCTCCTTTGCAGAGCACGCTCCTTTGCAGAGCACGCTTCTTTGCAGAGCACGCTTCTTTGCAGAGCACTCTCCTCTGCACAGCACGCTTCTTTGCAGAGCACGCTCCTTTGCAGAGCACGCTTCTTTGCAGAGCACTCTCCTTTGCAGAGCGCTCTCCTTTGCAGAGCACGCTTCTTTGCAGAGCAGGCCAAGCTCTCTCTTTAGAGGGGGTTTCCCAAATGGATTCTATTCTACCTGAGAGGCTCCTAGCACTCGTCCGTCCAGGAAATGACCTCGTCCTGCGAAGGATTTGAAGTCTAAAACGCTGCATGACCCCTAGATATGCGCCGCAATTTGGCTCCAGGTTGCATTTCAAGCGATGTCAAGCTTTGCCAAAGGAAACCCCTTTTCCCTTTTTTTTGGGACCCCTTTTTTTTGGACCCCTTGTTTCTTTTTTTTTTTTCTTAGCCCTGCAAAGGTTGGCTCGCTTGAAATGCAACCTGGAGCCAAATTGCAAGCATATCTAGGGGTCATTATTTTGCAGCCACACGCCTCCACGCAGCGTTTTAGACTAATCCTTCGCAGGACGAGGTCATTTCCTGGACGGACGAGTGCTAGGAGCCTCTCAGGTAGAATCGAATCCATTTGGGAAGCCCCCTCTAAAGAGAGAGCGCTGTCCTCGCCGAGCTCTTCGCGGCGCCCTGCAGACAGGAGAGCCCATCGTGGCAATGTAGCGCAGCAGGAAGTGGAAGTCGTAGCCGCCCCCGTTGTGAAAGACCACTGGGATGGTCTTGGGCGTCTGGGCCGCTCAGGAGTGGCACAGCGCCCCGAGATACTGCCGGTGCCGTGGCAGTGGTGAGTGGCGGCCCTGTGCTCCAGCTCCTCCCGCCGGGTCATGCTGACGGAGTTCGGCGTCTCCAGGTGAGGTAATGGTCGGCCAGCTTGAGAAGGTCGTCCAGCATGGCGCGGACGGCGTGGTACTTGTCGCTGTCCCGCTCGTGGTGCGTGAGCCTCAGCCTCAGCTCCTCGGGTGGCACGTAGCCGCAGCGCCCGACAGCGACGTAGCAGGAAGAAGCCGCGACGGTCTGGCGCGCCGGCTGCTGCTGCGCTATGTGGACCGTAGACCTCGAGGTCCGCGTAGCACGTCAGGGGCGCGAGCTCTGCGGAGGCCTTGCCCCTGTCGGGCCCGGGTAGCGGCGCTTTCCGAGTGCGCTCGGCTATCTCTCGATAGCGCTGGGAGGCGCGGTGGCGCTGCCAGGAGGCCTTCTTGGCGAAGCGGGCCATGCACCTCGGGCACTTGTACTCCATGCAGCCGCCGGTGTTGGTGGGCGTGGCTCCCAGGGTCAGTCCCTGTCTGCTGGCAAGCGCCTGGAAGTTGTGGATCAGGCTGTAGTGGCCGCTGTGCAGGAGAAGCAGCACGGTGCGCCGGACAACGCCCGTGCCGCTCGGGGCGCGCTGCTGGAGGACGTGGTAGTACTCCAGCCCGTCCGCCCACAGGGTCTGCTGCCACACGAAGACGAAGACCTCCATTGCGGAGCTCGAAGGCCGTGATGTCGTCGAAGGCCACGGGGCGGTCCGTCGGCAGGCCGGAGAAGTCCACCCCCGCGTCGGCCAGAGCGGGCTGCCAGCCCGGAAGGCGCGGTCCTCGGCGGCCGGCCAGCTCGGGGTAGAAGAAGGCAGCTCACCCCTCCCCGAGTAAGCTCGTCATGCAGGCGGCTCACCTCCTCCATAGAGGCTCCCCGCTTCAGGGCGTCGACGACGGCCCTCAGCAGAGGCCTCAGCTGCTCGCGGCGCTCCAGGATGTGGGTGGTCATTCTGATTTTTTTTAATGAGCAAAAAAGGCTGCGGCATCGGAAGAAACTACAGCGGGCACTCTCGAGAAGGTGGCTCCACGCGCAGATCTGTGACCTCAAGACTCAACCCGCGCATGCCGCTCATCAACCACAAGCTGCGCGCTCTCAGCCTAACGCGCGCGGCGCAGTGAGCCAGCTCAGCGGGGCGGTCCGCAAACGTGCCGCCGGCGTTCCAGAAGCACGCGTGGGCCGGCAGCTTGGCTTTCAGCATCCAATCGCCGCCGCGCGATTGCCTCACAGAGGGCAGCAGCCGCTGGCGCACGGCCTCGGGTGTGAGCTTCGCGTCGAAGACGCGCTCGGATGCGGCCGCCAGCTGCTCGACCAGATCGGTCTCGGCCCGCTCCCAGAAGAGCCTCGCGCGCGCGTCGGTTGCGAAGCTCACGCTGGGGCGCTGCCCCTCGGAGAAGGCCCTGGGCTCCCATGGGATTTCCAGCGAAGCTTCGCTCTGCCAAAACAGAGGCTCCATGCACAAGAATTTGCCACCCTTAGCATTGGAGCGCACCTCGCCCAACTTCCACATGCTAGCCTGGCTCGTCATCCTTTTCTGTCTCCGATTAAGGGTTTTGCGGCAGTGTAGATCTTTCTTTGCCACACGTGACCCTGCTGGGGTGTGGTTAGCTGGTTGCCAGGTTGCTGGCTTTCTGGGCTTCTCGGGTTGCTCCTTTTTCTGGTTGTCTATCCAATGATACCACGATATCTTACTTTGCCTTATCATAAAGCTTAACCATGTCACATGATAATATGTCATCAGATCATACTACCATTTCATACCACCACTCCACACCATGTCCAAACATGTCTCCAAACATGTTGCATCATTTCATACCATATCGTATCATATTATTACAACATATCACATCATTTTGTTTCATATAACATCATATAACACTGTATCATATCAGATATGATACAACAGTTATAAGATTTACATTTATCATGTCATTATAATTTATCATCAGGTCACGCCTTTTTCCACGACAAACACCTAGAGCTAAACCTAAGAACGCATGACTGCATGATCGCAGCGGGTTGGGCATATGTTCAAAGCACATGCCCCCTCGCCTAGCCAGCGCCAGCTGCTTCAGCCAGCTCAACGTAATAAGGAAACCTCTCTCATGGCACTTTTCCAAGCGAACGCGCGTCTTTCCCAGTTTGCCTTGTTGCCTGCTTCAGGCTTTGGAGTGTCCGGCGTGTCATCCGTCTTGCGCAACTTGTAGTAGATGTAATCCTCCGTCTTCCTTGTTCCTTCAATCATGCGAAGCCGCTTGGTCAAGTGATGCTCAGTAACTTCACCGCTGTGCGACATGCAGGGCAGGAACTACAGAAGCCACTGTGTAAGCTAAGTAAGCTGCGCAAGCAACAATAGCTGCAGGCAGGAAGGGAAGCGCTACGGGCCTGCTATTCCACAAAGGGAAAAGAAACAGTGGAGACAATTCTGTACTCTTGATGTTGTCATACCACAAATGGAAGAGAAGCAGCGGAGATCCATATTTTTGCTGGTTGTTTTAGTCATTGTCCATGTCATGGAAAACAGTGACAACTCGTACTTCTGACGCTTGTTGTTTCTGGCGTCACACGAACCGCGTTGAGTGATGTCTGTTATGAGGTTGCATGAGGGGAAAACATGCACCGACATGAGCCATGATGGACTGGTTGGGTAGGTGGGAAAGCGGTTGGGATGGGAGTCCTCCTTTTTGGGTTTCCCAGTCCGCCTTTGTCCTCCTTTTGGGTTTCCCAGTCCGCCTTTCCATCGCCCCAGTCCGCCTACCAGGCTGGTAGGCGGACTGCCGGCGTTTTTGCATGTAGTTTTGGAGCCTTTGTGGCGCCATTTTGCTGTGACAGTGTTTCAGTTGTTGTTTGTGAGTTGTAAAGGTTTGGCACATTGCGTTGCCGCATGTCGACGCATGAAGCGGTGCCACGCGGGGCCCCGCAGCCCAATTGGCCGGAATGGCGGACAAGAAGAAGAAGACATGCGCAGTGAAGGAGGACTGGTTGCTGCCGTCGTGTTTGCTGTCGTGGTTGTCTTTGTCGTTGTCGTTGTCGTTGTCGTTGTTGTTGTTGGTGGTTGTGGTGGTGGAGGTGGTGGCTTTGCAGCAGCTGTTGTGCCCCATTGCTCTTGCATTAGCTTGGGTGGCATGTCACGCATGACATGAGCTGTCAGTTGTGCACAATCACTTGCTTCCAGTCTTTTTGCGACTCAAGCTGGGTCGCCGCCATGTCATGGAAACGCTCAGACTGGCAGAGCTGGCGCCAAGACAGCTGGAGCCAAGGCTGGAGCCAGAGGAGCCAAGACTGGAGCCAACAATGGGGCCAACAAAGCTGGGGCCAAGACTGGGGCCAAAGTGGGCTAATGATGACAGAGGCCAGCAGGACCAGCACCAAAGCTGGCTGGATGACAGGCGGATGGCTGAAGCAGCTGTCCGCATTCGCCCGCCCAACAAGCGGAAGGCCAACCACGCAAAACAAGTTCAAAACTATGAGAGGCGCTGCTTGCGCTTGATGTGGCAGCAGGCGAGAGAAACAAGGGAAAGCGGCTAAAGCTTTGATGTGGTGTCTTGGGCGCAGACGAACCTATCATGGGCAAGCTATGTCCACGCACGGGAAACCAAGGGCTTTGCCGAAAGCAGCTCAGTTCCATCCCTAGAGCAAACGGAGGTGGAACAGGTTAATGCAAACCGTAATATGGATGTATTACCTGCAGAAGTTGAGCATCACGCCCTACTCGAGGTATGTGTACAAGTATGGGTTGGACCGTGTCATGCAGTCGCACAAAATCATCCGCAGAGACAAGCACGACCACGACGAGGAATCCGACGCAAACGAGGACATCGCGATCCTAGAGCGGAATCTGCTGGATGTGGACTTGAACGCCCGCAAGACGCGCCAGCGCACTGCTGACGGCAATGCAGCAGCTGAAGAGGTGGAGTCCTCGCCTGACGAGGCTGCTGCAGCTCCTGGTCCTGCTGCTGGCCCTCAACCTGGAGGTGTTGACCCTGCTGATCCTGCATTTGTGCCAGACTGGGGATCTGAGTCAGAAGACCGGAGACAGGGGCAGTGTTTTTTCATTTGGCTGAAAGTTTGTTGATAAAACATGTCATTGGCTTGTCATTGTTGATAAAACATGACTTTCAAAACAGTGGCTCAGGAGACTCAGGAGCAGGAGGACGACGACGAATCCTGGGGCACTTGGCGTCCAGCTGCACCCAAGCCCAAGCCCAAGCAAATGCCCACGCAGCCTTCAAGACCTTTGCCGCCGGAGCCTTCACGCCCTGCGCCTGCGCCGAAGCAGCAGCCTTCACTGCAGGCTGCGACTGGGTCAAGGATTCCAGTGACGCTGCAGCCGAAGCAAGCTGCTGCTGCGGCTGCGCCACCGCCTCCGCCGCCTGCACCGCCTCCACCGCCGCCGCCAGGGCTGGCTGTTGCAGCTGGCCCTCAGGACCAGGATTCAGCTGCGTGGCAGCCCATGCACGACTTGCTCGGCGTACAACAAAGAATTTGAGGTCACCAACTCTTGGTGATCCAGACGCTGGTGGAAACTGGCTGCCCGAACATTGGGCCCTTCAAGATGCTCCTTTTCGGCTCGCGGGCTCACGGCATTACCTGCCCCTTCAGCGATGCTGACACGGCGTTGCTGATGAGGCCGGGCCCTGGCCCCAGCGGAGAGCAAGCGCTCACTGCTGTCTGCAACTGGATGCAGGCAGAATCAAAAAAGCAGCCTGGCGGGCCCTTCCAGAACGTCACCAACGCGATGGGCAAATGGTCCATCATGTGGGACCTGTGTGGCTTTCACGTGGATCTGACTTTTGGAGAGAAGGAAGAGCCAATCATGCAATCCACGCAGGTCATGGCAAACCTTGCGAGGTCTATCTCTACTGAAGAGCGATTTGCGTGCGCAATGTTCATTGACTGGGGGAAGAGCTGCAAGGCTTTGTACCACAGAGACACGCGTGGCATGTCCGTTGGCCGCAACATCAAGGCGATCCATGACTTGATCAACGCGCTCATGCTGCTCCACAGCAAGGAGGACCATGGCCTGGCTGAAGCAGCTGGGACAAAATCCTTAGACTTCCTGCGCAGGGCTGAGCAGAGTGCAGGGCCGGGCAAGGCAGGCAACCTCTTCCTCTGGCTTTTGCAAATGTGGTGCAGCTCAGCAGTGACAGCTCATCGGTTTATGCCGGCCAACGGCCCTTGCGGCGCCGTGGCTGCCCGCAGCAGCAAAACGTCGAGCCCGACAATTGAGCTGGTACACCATGGGCGTAATTTGCTTCCAAAGCTGCCGCAGGTGACGCTCGGTCGGATCCAGGGCGAAGCCCGAGAACTCCTTCATGCTGTGGCGCAGGACTACACAAATTCATGCAAGCAGTATGTGGGCTTGCGCATCCAGAGCCTACACAAGATGATGCATTCCCAAGGGTTTGACAGAATCCGCGGCATGGCGTGGACTATGAAGCACCAGCAGAGGAAAGCGCTTCGATCGATCCTGGCCCAGCCCACAGTCACGCCTTTGCAGCCGCTGCCAGCACAAATGCCTCCAGAAGCCCAGTCACCCATTGCCATTCAACTTGAGAGAGGCACATGGCAGTGGTTCTCACTGACATACACAGTGACAGTCGTGGAGCCCATGGCCCCATCAGAGCGCGATGAGATGCTTCTGATTTGGCTTCCAGGCTGCGATCAGAGAACTGCAAAGCCAAGCCGGGTTTTTCAAGGGATCCTCCCGTGCCACCTCATCATCTTGACCCCGCAAGTGCCGCCGACTCTCGGAGGCAAGAGAGGCATCTCGGCAATGACAAGTAGTAAGGCTTTTGCAAGGGTAAGTTTTCCAGTGTTTAGAGGTAGCTTTACAGTATCTATCCTTAGGCCAAATCTCGAACAGAGGACCCCCCAAAGAGGGCCAGCTTATTAGAATTTCGGGTTATCTTTCACGAAACCCTTCGTTACCTTTCTCTTTTTGTGACTTGCATTGCACGTGGGCATGCCGCATGACGCTGTGCAGAATGGGGTTGTTTTTGTAGTTGCGTTTCGGCTTCTTTGGCCAGGCAAGAAATGGAAAGCACGTCCGCCATCCGCGATGCAGGGCTGGTGCGAGGCAGTCGCGCGCCTGGCTGCTGCAGCGCGCCAGCGAAAGCTTTGCTTGATGGGCTTTTCCAGGGGCGCCATGTGTGGACCCGGGCCATGCCTGCCATGATCCACCGAACAGTTTTGGGCGGCTGGTACCCGGACCCAGCCGAGCCCAAGGAAGACCTGGAGCGCCTCGCGCGATCCCACACAAGCATTTGCATGGTCAATGGCAGACGTGACAAGTGCTGCCCTGCCGAGACAACAACGTTTTTCGCGCAAGCTCTGATGGCATCTAGCGTTAGCAATCAAGTGCTTACGCTGGATGGCGGGCATGAAGATGTGCAAGATGTCCTTTGGGGCCGAGCTGCGCAGTTCCAGGCGTTTTCGCATGAGGTGTGGCGTTTCCTTTTTGGATGATGCGCCTTTAGCTGAACCAGCTGCATGCGTGCGCCATTTTGTTAGATAGACCTCTGAAGCGAAACATTGCTACTGTTGAGAGATCTATTTGAGCACATGCAAAGTCTTGCCATGAAACAAACCCTTGCTATCTGAGGGGTGTATTTGATCGAATGCAAAGTCTTGCCAGGCGCATGCGTGTACATCAGCTCGCCACCATTGAATCTTTTGCGTTGCTCGAAACTCTTCCCTCCAGAGACAAAGCCAGCAGAGAGAAAGCCAGCGCCTGCATTGTTTCAGACCATTGATGGAAAACTGTCACTGTCTATGTTTCAGACATTAGTTCAGCTGCAATGCTAAGGGAACCATTGATGTTCAGGCCAATTGTTTGGTTCGCACTGGCCACGCAGGAGTTCCTCAACTCGGACGAGTTCAAGTGGTTCCAGAAGGTTTGGTCGGACCAGGCTGGAATTTGGAAGTGCGGCTGCTTATGGTGTGCAGCTCTTTGTCAGACGGTGGGTTGTAGCAGTTTCATGTTCTCAGGCATTGCGGTGGGAGGGTTTGGGCTGTGTCCTCTTAAATTTGTCGCCATCCATCATCTGAGGTTGCAGTGCAAGTTCCTGATGTGCAGAGCTTGAAGCTCCAGCCAGGAGATTTCGCCAAAATGTCCATGAACTATGCCACTGTCACGCTGTGGAATCTTCGGAAGCACGCATCCTCGGAGCTTCATGTTGTGGCTGAGAGTTTGGTGAACGCAGACCCCAATGCAACCGACCCTACACTTCATGGAGCATGTCCAGCCAACAAAGATTGGGAGGAAGTCATGCGAGAGACAATTCAGGGGAAACCCTGCCGGATAAGTGGTGTACCAGTGGCTGCAAGGGATAAACTCAAGAACATGCAGTGGTGCCTTGCCGCAGCAAAGCGGCAGCATTTGCAGAAAGTCATCTCGCAGGCTGAGAGCATCAGCCTTAGTTTTGACAAGCGTGGCACCCGGCTGCTGATACAGTTTCGTTGCGCAGACAAAAGCCTCCAGGTGACGCAGGGCCTGCTGTCATTACAACGGTTGGCCACAGGCGCAGCAGATGACATTCGACTTGCATTGATGCAAGGCTTCCAGCGATTCTTTCGCAACGAAGTCCCACCCAGGGCTTGCGGCCTGGCTGTTGCAGCTGGGCTTGAAGTCGCAGAAGCTCTTGACAAAACACAGTTTGAAGCGGCTTTGCTCAAGGTGGAACACTTGGTCGCTGACGGGGCATCTCCAGAACAATTGTCTATTCGTGAGGCAGCTACAGGTCTCAACCTAGCAGGGCCAACAACCCCCAGCATGAAGAACGTTCTGAGCCAAGGCTTCCCGAATGTCAAGGCCAGTGGCGTTATTTGAAAATCAGATGGTTGGCATGTTAATGCAGGTTGAGTTGTGCCAGGCTGTATCGCGGGACAGGGCCCACGCTGCCAACAGGACCTTGTCAGCGCCTGTCCAGGTTTGACCGGTTGTGCTCTGCACGTGTTTGGCCAATCTTGCTTTGTATGCTGTCCACCTGTCCGGCTTTGACCACTTTTGCTCCACACAGACACACAGAACGCATTAGGAGCAAGTTGCCATGATAAGGCGCAGCGTTTCTTTGGTGACATTTGCCCAGGATCCTTTCACGTCCTTGGGGCACAGACGACTTTGTCAAAGCAGTCATCCACCAGTTTGTGGAGAAGGACAAGTCAATATCGAAGTTGATATCTTACAGCCCCAAGATCCAAACAATGTATGCTGATAACCGTGCACGATGTCAAGATGGCGCACGCATTTCTGAGCGTATCCAGGACTGCTTGTGCATGATTTGGTCAAGTGTTTTGTTTGTTGCCTTTGTTGATGCTTTGCTTGGCTTACCCAGGACTTCTGCTATGCCCCCCAGAGGTACAGCTCCACTGCTAAGGTTCTTGGTCGCCTTGTGCTTACTCTGGACGCTTCTTTGGCAACAGCTGCTCAGGTGGTCATGCAGCGCGGTGCCTCATGCGCGGAAGGGCGCGCTTGCATGGAACTTTTCGAGTTCTTGTCTGATGAAGTGATTGTGCAGTTGGGAATGCTGGCAGACTATGCCATGCAGATTCAAGGGCTTGTGCGGATTTGTGATGATGAAGAGCTCGACGAAGCCGAGCTGCCACAGGACATCATGGCTCAGGAGACAGTGTTGCGCAGCTTGTTCCTCGACAAAGCCTGTTTGAACTTTCCTGGTTTTACAAAGGTGGCCTTGCAGACTTTGAAGCGGCCAAGGACTTTTGTGTTGCGAGCAGGCTTTGTTAAGACATTTGGGTCTGCAGCTGGTGTGTCTCAAGCTGTGGTGGACCAGTGCTTTTCTAGGATGCGCCCTATCATTGAGGTGTCTTCGAAGGTCATAGCTGCAGAATATCCTGAGCATGATATTTTGCATTCCTTCCATGTGTTCGCCCTCAGTGGCCGGAGCGGAAGGAGTGACCTTCATGGCCAAA